AGAAATTTTCCCGGATCTGCAAAGCTGGAGGCACTTGGGCTACCACCCTCCTCCCTCCCCAATCCTTTATATTACCAAGGAAAAGAGGAAAAGAATATTGAAATTCTCTTTTATTTCTCATTTACAGCTTGTTTAGGAGATTAAATTTCTCTTTCTTTTTCAAGACAAGGTAAATAAACTCATATTCATAAAAAACAAAAACAAAAACAAAACAAAACAGAAACTCGGGGACAATGACGCCGATCTCACTTGAGACATAAGAGGGAGCGTGGAAGTCTGAGGGCGCAAGCAGTCCCGGGCCGACCCCAGACCGGGGCACTGTATGGACGAGGAGAGCCCGCTGGTCCCAGCAGCAGGGGCTGAGGACATCCGAGAGGTCACCGCCAGCAGGAGCAGGGACAGGGGCTAAGAGGACGCGCTGGTCCACTCTCCTCCCCAGATCCCAGGGAGGGGCTGACCTTACCCAGGGCGTGGGCTCCATCATGGCCGCTGCAAAGGCATGGGCGGGGCCTGGGAACACTGGGGTCCCAGCCAGACGAGGCTCCGTCATTCACTGTGAAGGTCTAGGGGGGTGTGAGGGCTGGATCCCATGCCTGGGGTCTCCGCTGGACCCATCGATGGGGTTGGAGGCCTACAGAATGGACAACAGGGAGAACAAGGCAAACACCAAGCATTACCCACACAGAAGGCATTTACCAAATCACCTCGCAAGTAGCTGCGGACACTCTACTAACGTATGCAGCGGAGACACGGTCAGGACATACAGTGTGTGAGGGGGTGCTGGTTGTGGGCACGGGGGTAAACATGAGAAACATGTGTGACAGGACAGGTCCCAGGAGCCGGCATCACCAGGCCACAGAACATTGAGGAGAAGCAGGTCTAAACTGGATGGTCACCTGGGGCAGAAAGATGGTGGGGGAAGGGTCTCCCACTGGTTCCACAGCCACCTCCACCTGAGACAGCGAGGTCCCTGCTGCTCCCACAATCCCCTCCACCTGAGACAGCGAGGTCCCTGCTGCTCCCACAATCCCCTCCACCTGAGACACAGGAACAAGAAACCACCAAATTCTATTCCTGTTGTGTGATAGGAGAGTCAGAGACCCACGGACACCAGAGAAAGTTCAGAGACAGGACGGGGAGGTGCCCATGGCCCCTGAGCTGAGGACCAGGTAAGACCCTCAGGGCTGCAGGGGGAGGGGCTTCAGGATGATGCGGAGCAGACGCTCAGTGACTGGGAGTCGGCCCTGCCCTGGAGAGAGGCGAGAAGAGGGATTTCTGTGACACCTCTCAGGGCGGACCCCTGATTTAAGGGAGAGGTAAAACTCTCAGGGTCCCCACGGCCTTCAGCTCGGAGTCATTTGTACGCCAGAGTGGACATCTTGGGGAGGTCTGTCCTGAACCCCTTTGTTGGGAGACCTTTGCCAAAAGGCCCCCAAAATGAGTGGAACAGAGGATGTGCATGGTGACCACGGCAGGTCTGAGGGACACGGTTCTGAGGAAGGTCTCCACGCCGCCAGCAGAGGGCAAGAGAGCGCAGAGCCCGGCCGAGGTCTCCGGTCCAGGAACGCTGAGCTGGGCGGTCTGCAGAAGGCACCCTGAGAGCCATGGCAAGCGTGGCTATTTGACAGGTGGTAACACCTGATCCGCTCCCGCAGAGGAGCCCCCACTGAGACTTTCTCCTCACAGGCGGTCTCAGTGCACATCTGAAGCCAAGACTGAGGACCGTCAATATCGCAACCAACTCCCGCTTTTCTATAAAAAGCCAGACTTTCTTCAAACGGTCCACACATTTCTACGTCCATGGGGCTCCGGGCGGCGCACAGCAGGCGGAGGACGAGTCAGCGCGGCCCTTTGGGGGCCACATAGCGGGGAGGACTCAGCACCCATCCGGGACAGTACCCCGGACGCTCGCAAACCACTGCTGTGGATATAGACAGCGCCCAAGCGTGTGCCTCCTCAGTCTGCATCTTCTTTGCCCCGGTCTATATTTTCCGAGTCCTCCATGGCTCCTTTATGTAATTTAAACAATTCGAAACAACGTGATTTCCCAAAACCTTCGTGTAGTTCACCCTCCTCACCCTCCCAGTCCCTCCTCCCCCCTTCACCGCCTCCCTCTTCATCGTCTCCTCTCTTCCCCTCACCTCCCTTCACCCCCTTTGCCCTCCCCTCCCCTTCCCCATTGCAGGTCCCAGCTGCCCCAGCCTGGGGCGGAGGTGGAGGACCAGGGCTGCTCCCACGACAGAGGTCACCAGAGCGGCCGCTGAATTATCCTAACCAGCGAGGAACTGGCCGTGCTTCTCCTGCACATTTGGAGACATTCCTGAGGTGTCGGGGATGGAAATGTCAAGGCTGAGGAGACCACTCTTACTGAGGGCCAGGTGCCTCCTCAGAGCACACCAGGGCAGCCCCCGGCGGCCTCCAGGGGGCGCTGCTGGGCCCTCCTGCGGCTGAGGAGAGAGCCTCACAGGCGGTCTCAGTGAGGCTCCTCTGCCGGAGCGATCAGGTAATAACCCCCTGTGGTCACGGCTACACGGGAGCCAGAGACTTCCAGAAGCTGCTCACGCCCCCCAGGGCTCTGCAGCCTTCCCGGCCGACACAGCTTCACCAACGAGCTTCCACTGGAGAGGCTGGCCTTGTGCTCACGCAGGGAGCAGCCTGTGTGTGTGTGTGTGTGTGTGTGTGTGTGTGTGTGTGCGCGCGCGCGCGCATGCGTGTGTGTGTGTGTGTGTGTGTGTGTGTGCGTGCGCGCGCGCACAGACATTCCTATAGAACTTGCAGGATCGTTCAGACTAAACTGTGTAGGCAGACACCCAGAATGCTTTCTTTGGCCCTAATTAGTGATAATATTGACAGGACATTTTAGAGGAGTTCATCATGTTGAATTGTAATTCATTACATCCAAGGGTACTTGGGCCTGTGCCCTGACCAGGAATCGAACTGTGACCTCCTGGTTCATAGGTCAACACTCAACTTCTGAGCCACATGGGCCAGGCTAAACTTGCTTTTCTAAAAATGTATTTATTGCTTTGAGAGAGAGCGAGAGAGAAGTATTATTTGTGGTTGCACTTGTTGATGCATTAAACGGACAGAGACAGGAACAGGCAATGAGGCAGGTGTGGGAGGATTGCTTGGTAAAGATAAGACAATATATTTTTGCTTCTGCCGTTGACCACAGCACATTCTTAGGTCTCCCAATGTTTTCCAAATGATGGCAAGACCCCAGTCACAGCTACAGTGATGGGATTTTCATTTACTGCCTCCCTGTCTCCACGCCAGCTGAGTGAGAATATCTTCACAGTCTGTGCTTTGTGTCTGATTTCCAGGCCCCGAAGGGCACAGTCCCCTGGAAACTCAGCCTGGATTAATGCTGTATGAGCTCCCTGCGCGTTTCCAGTTTCAATTAGCGCTCTTACAGCGCCATTCAGTCTTGCAAATTGCTGTCAGCGGGGACTGAGCCGCTGAGCTCTCGCCTGAGATTCCACGGCAGCTCCTGGTGTTGCTGCAGCTGCTCGTCACCCGCTGCTCCCCCAGTCAGGGAGACTCAGGGCGGGGCGCGCCTCTGCTGACCAAGCACACCGAGCCGTGCCCCCTTTGGAGGAAGTGGACGGTGTGTTAGCGCTGCATGTAAATCACCAACATTTGGAAAGTGACACCAACATCACATTTACTACAGACCTTACCAAGTTCTGCCAGTTGTCCAATACCTTTTGGACAACAAGGGATGGGGTAGAGCTAGAACCATGGATGAGCCGTCTCCTGCATGCCCCCTGCTGGAGATCATGCCTGCAACTAGGGCATGCGCCCCGACTAGGAATTGGACTGGTGACCCCTTGGTTCATGGGTCAAAGTTTAACCATTGAGCCACCCCAACCGGGTGAAAACCCTTTTTGCTGGGTCCAGGATGCAATGCCAGGCCACAGGTGCGCACCGCAGCTGGGAACAGAGTTCAGTTGCTGCTCTTTCCTGGCGTGGACTTAGGGGAATGAAGGCGATCATTTCCCAGACTGCACCTCAGCCTGGTGTGGATCGCTGCTCCCGTCTGTTCGCATCACCCGCTTTGGGAGGAAGCCCCAGAGCTATGCTTTGTCCTCCTCGCGGCATCCGACCAGGAGGCGTCAGCACGTCTCATCACTGACAGCCCCGCCAAAGGCGCTCGGAGCAGGGGCACGGCAATCACGTGGCTCTTAGCTCTGAGGGCATGGTGGGCTGTGGCGGCCCCTTTGACAAGGGCACTGTCAGCGGTGTGGACGGACTGCAGGGAGGGTGGGCTCACTGGGCTTCACGTCCGTTTCTAGGGAGTCTGCACCTCCAGGAGGACGTACGGCGACAGGCAGCTTTGGCTGTTACCAAACAGCGCCCACCCGTGCGCCACCGGGCTTGGCCTGGCTCCTTGCCTCCGTGGCTCCCGTCCGGCCACCGCCCCACCAGGCTGCCAGCGCAGGCATGAAGCAGGTGTGGTGAAAACGGACTTCCTGGACGAAGGGAGCGGGGTAAGGGTGGAATTGGGGGAAAGATACTGAAGACACTGGCCGATACCTGTTTATAAATAATCTGAACATTTCATTTACTTTTAAATATATTTTATTGATTTCAGAGAGAGAGAGGTAGAAACATCAATGATGAGAATCACTCATCGGCTGCCTCCTGCATGCCCCCTACTGGGGAGCAAGCCCACAGGCCTGTAAGCCAGGCATGTGCCCTGACCGGGAATGGAATCGTGAACTCCTGGTTCACAGGTTGGGGGCCAACCACTGAGCCACACGGCCGGGCGAACATTTTGTTCTTTTGTGATGTGCATGTCCTACCAGACAATTGGTCTAATGCAATGAGACCAGGTGCTCTGGTTACATAACAAAACTTCAGAGTAAAAAATACAAAAAGTCCTCATTTTATTTGAAAAAAGTAAATTCATGTTTTCAGTTGACTTTGGGCAGGCCGGTGCCGGCTGGGGCTCCGTGCGTCCGGGCTCGGTCTGTCTCCGGACAGGGACGGCTGCCCCCTCAGCCCTCCCAGCCCCGCAGCAGCAGCCGGTTCAGGACGCTGCTGTGCCTCAGCGCCTGCAGCTGGGACGTGTCCTCGCCGATGACGGTGACGCCCCTGCTCTGGCCCGGAGCCGACAGGTCGCCCTCGCTGTCGGACAGCGTGCACAGCAGGCTGTCGTTCTCGTAGGTGGGGAAGTAGTACCTGCAACACCAGACCGGCCTCACGGACTGCGCCTCCCCGAGAACAGTGTGTGGACGCGGCTCAAAGGGTTTCCTCGCCACAATTTCAGCAGCGTGGCCGTGAGGGGGCCCCTCTGAGTGACTCAGGGTGACCTTCCTGTGAGTGCCCTCGCCCTCCTCAAAGGCCCGCTCTCCCCGCCTGGGTAGCAGCCTCCAAACAGAGCTTCTCCCTCACACTCCGCTCCTAAGATCTGATAACAACGATTCCCTGGTTCTTTCCTCGCCTAACCATCACTGGTTCCTTCGTTCTAGGTGATAATAATCTACAATAATAAAAGCATAATATGCTAATTAGACTGGACAGCTGGACGACATTTCGGATGAAGCAGGGGCTTCGAGGGCCGCTAATGCACAAATTTTATGCATTGGGCCTCTACTCTCTCTATAGAAAAGCCCAAGTGACCGTCCAATCGTTTGCAATGATGCACAATGACCACCAGGGGACAGGCGCTCTGATCTGTAGCTATGATGTGCACTGACCACCAGGGGCAGACGCTCATCGCAGGAGCTGCTGAGCTGCAGTGACTTGGCAGTTGTGGTTCTCAGGTGACGCACCCAGAACCAGAGAGGAGGGAGCCCGATTCTGGGGTGTGTCACCTGCGAACCCCCCTCTCTCATCCCCCACTTGGGGGATGTCAGAGAGCCGGTCTCGGCCCGATCCTCGCAGGCCAGGCAAAGGAACCCCACCGGTGCACAAATCTGGGCACTGGGCCCCTAGTAATAACAACAACATAGCTCTGTGGGCATTCCCGGTCATGCTGTGTGATTGTGGTCGGCTCTGGGGCACCTCAGAATGAGAAGCACAGGAACAAGGCACCCAGTGGTCAAGCCACATATCTGGGGTTGTGGGAAAACCAAAGTGTTTTGTTTTAAAGGAAAACCTGTCCTAGAGCTTCCTGGCTAGAGTTCTGGGGGACCTGATGGGACATTCCCTGGGAACAGAGGGACCCTCACAGCTCTCAGCCCACCCAACGCGGCCACTCACTCGGGCTGGTCCCAGGTCCTCCTGTCGGGGAGCAGGCCCGCGTGGTTGGCCTCCGCCAGGTGGGCCCCCAGGTCGGCCCTGGACGGGAACCTGGCACAGCAGCCGTAGCACCGGCCCTGGTGAACCTGCCGGCGGATGAAGTTGACCAGCTTCACTTGCTCATAGAAATTCAGTCCTGAGGGAGGGAAGTGCAGAGTCACTCTGCATGTTTATCTACTGCTAACACAGGCCCATCTGTAACACACACACACACACACACACACACACACACACACACACACACACACACACGTCTACAGAAGCACAAAGCACAGTCACACCCGGAGGCGGGAGGGAACTTCTCATGGTCTGGCCCATCAGCGCGCCCTCCTGTGCTCGATGCCTGAATCTTTGTCACCGGGCACGGGGCGAGTCCGGCTGCACCCCAGCGGCCGGAGGGGTCCGGGTTCACCGCCCACGTTCGCCCCAGGCCCCGGGTGCCCAGCAGGACGGCAGCTGGCCAGGGACCTCTGCTCGGCCTCTGGCGGACAGTGACCATGAACCTGGATTCTGCGAGAAGACGCCACATCCGCGGGCAAGGAGGGGACCACCCGGGGCCAAACCCGCTGTGAACACGGGTTCCGGCGCCGGTGGGGACCGTCTGCGGGACGAGGTGGCCGTGCCCCTCCCTCCGGACCTTGGCCCGGCCAGTAGCGGCGCAGCACTGAGTCCGACTCACCGAGCTCGGCCTTTGTCTTGAGGAGGTCAAAGCCGTGCGCCTCCTGGAAGAGGGATGGCAGAGCTGTGAGCAGGTGGGTACTCCATCTCCCACCGGTTCACAGGAGCCTGACCCTGAGGCCCCGGCTCAGCTCACCGTCCCGGCGTCTGATATCTTGACATCCAGCTACTCCCCGACTCCACACAGGCCCGCCAATCAGCTGAACCCATCACTGCCTGTCCCCGCAGTCCCCACGGTTCACTCTGTGGGATGCAGTGTGCAAGGGGCGCCCCCAGGGAGAATGGCCTCTGGCCTTGTGGGGACGGGAGCTGTGGCGGGCTCTGCCTCTCCGTTTATGCTGTCGCTGACAAGCCGCCAGCTTGTTGTTATGCACACCTTCCCACAGTCACGTCTGAAGCGCCTCACGGTGCAGAGGCTCATTTTATTCTGGCCCGTCCCTGTCACGTCCATCTGCGTGAACGGCGGAACGCACAAGCGCACAGAGCAAAGACCACCTCAGCCTGGTCTTTCAGGGCCCCAGGCAGGGCGCTGGGGCTCCGGCCAAGGAGGTTGCAGAGGGGACCCCCACACAGGGCGGGACACAGCTGCTTCCAGTTCTAACATGTCGGACACTGAATTACATGTGCACACGGGGACCAGTGCACACGGGGCCAGTGCACACTGCTGGCGGCTGGTGCCGACAAGCGGCCCTCTGCTGCATCTGTGTGTGCCCGTGGCTTTCCTGGACCTGCCCTGTCCTTACTGCGCTGAGCAGTCTCTGACCAGGGTGCAGTGAATGGGGGGGGCAGGCAGTGGAGTCGCCCCTGTGGGCACAGGTGGGCGGGGCATGAATCACTTGGCTGGGCAGTCAGCCCTCAGCCCCAAACCCAGCCACAGTGCTGTGCTGAGACATGGCTGCCCTCTCCCAGGGTGCAGGAGGCTCCTCTCCAGCATGTCCCAGGTGGGAACAGACTCAGAGCTGCTCACTTCGAGCTTCTTTACAAAGAAGGGACGCACACCCTGGGGTCTCTGCTCTTCTCTCCAAATCCTTGCCCCGAGGAGCTGCCAGACCACACCTAGGCGCCGTCCCTCCCCGCCCCCCCGCATGCGCCCAGGGCCGTGGGCACGAGCTGTGGCCTGCCTCCCGCTTCCCGCACGCTCCGCTCCGGAGAGGAAGGAGCTCCGGGAACGAAGGGCTTAGCCTGGCCAGGCCGTGGTGCGGTCGCCTCCGCGGAGCAGGACGGGATGAAATGAGCCTGAGCGTCCGTCTCACCTCCATGTGGGCGCACAGCTGCTCCGTCGTCTCCGCTTGCTTCTCACAGAACAGACACACGGCGGAGACGGGGCGCTCCTCCCAGTCAGACCAGTCCCTGCGCCAGCAGAGAAGGCAGACAGACCTCGTTAGAGCCCCGAGCATCTCCCCCGCCGCCCCCTCTCCCGCTCCGCAGTTTTGGGGAGACTGTCTCCACGTCACGGCCTGATGCGGCCTCTGACGGCAGAGCAGCCCGGGAGCCGGCCTGAGAGCCGAGCGGCCGTCCCCGGGCCCCTGCTCCTCTGAGCCGCCTTCCCAGGCCAGCGCCGGGCTCGGGGAGGCCGTTTCCCGTTTCTCGGCGGAGGACACATGGGATGTGCTCATGAACACACGGGGGCATGCGCCCTGCTGGGGTGGCCACACGACAAACGCTGTGCTTTGAACAGCACTGCACCTCGAACGGGAACCAGCTACTGTCTGCAGTGGGGCAGGTGCAGGCCAGTCCATGGAGAACTCACAAGGCACACACCCCTCTTTTTTGCTTTTTACCATTTCCTCCTCTCCTTGCATTTCGTCTTGAGACACTGCCAACCTCTGGTCATTCCTAAACCAGGACACCAAGCTCAGCCCTGAAGAGGGCCACGGGCCGAAGGGCACTGCCGGAGAGGGGGGAGGGGAGCCGGGCCTTCCAGGCTGAGGGCCCGCAGCTCAGACTTCCCGCCGGCAGCCACACGTGTCCTCAGTGTCACCCCCGGGCCAGGAGCGGCCAGGCTCCGGGTCACCCCTCTCCGAGGGCACCTGGCCTGGGTGTGGCCTGCGCATGGTCACAGCGCCGTGCACACCCGCCTGGCGGGGACACAGCAGCTGCAGCGGCTTTGGGGGAGTCCCGCTGAGCCCAGTCTTGCCGCACCACACGCAGGCTGCGTGGCTGAGAGAAGGGGTCCCGTCTCCTGTCCCCCCCGAGCTGTGTTAGACCGACCAGAGAACCGCCCGATCCCTGGCACCAACCCATCGCAGCGCCCCAGCCTCACTCTTCCTGGTGCTCCAGCAGCTCCCGGTCGTCTTCCGACTGAACCTCTTCCCACGATTTCCCAAGTTCCTTTGCAGGAGACACAGGGTTAGAGGGGGGCGGGGAGGGGAGAGTGGATAGACTCCACAGCAAACCCACAGGTAGTGGTTCACACACACACACACACACACACACACACACACACACACACACACTGAGGGGGGGGGGCGGTGGTGGTGTCGCACCGGCTCTGACACAGGGAGGTGTGGCTCCCCAGCGCTTTCTCTTTGGAGAAGTATAGGACCCCGCCCCCACGTCCTTCCAGTCACTATAACAAACCCTCCGTCCTTCCCCGTCAGAATAAACCCTCCCGGGCGTTGCCCACGTGGAGGACGAGATCCTGATCCTCGCCATGGCCTCCGGCTCCACCTCCTGCTCAGGTGCTACAACCAGACACCCTCTCTGTCCCGGCTCCTCCCGCCCGGCTGTGCCACCTCCTAAAACACGCCGCTCACCTGTGCTTTCACCTGCCTACACGGCTCAGCCTGGCTAAACAACAGCCCTCTCCCCAGTCGCTCTCTATTTCTCGGTTAGGCCCTAACCCTAACCCTAACCCTAACCCTTCGCCGCGAGCTGGTGCTAACACATCGGCAGCAAACCACGGGCCTCTCAGTGCATCTTCAAACACGCTAAGCCTGCTCCCAGGGGAATGTATTCCAACTTGGGTTACGCAGAACACACAGAAATTCCACCCCAGAGCAGACACAGCACATAGTTCAGGACATGCTCCTCTGTCCACAGGTACAGTGGCTGATGGCCATCCACAGGCCTCCTGAGGGCTGCGCCGCGTGCCCATCCTTCACTGTGAGAGGAAAGCACTTCCTGTGCCCAGGAGTGTCAGACACAGCACCTCCCGTCCAGCCACCGACAGTCCCCCTTCCTTCACACAAGCAGTGGTTTCCTAATGTTATGTCAGCAGGGCAGTGGTCACTGTGCTAACCATAACCCCCATACATCCTCCATGCCCCTGACAACATGCCTCCTCTGATCCCCTTTTCCTAACCAGAGGAACTGTCACCTCAGGGCCCATCTGTGGTTCTGCGGTTTCTGAGCAGCGAGCTCTCAGGGTGGAAAATCCACTGCCTTGTGACCCCGTGTGTCCGTCCTAAAAGCCACACATGTAGCAGTCCTCTTGCCCAGTGAAATGGCTGAAATTACTTGGTTTCTCTAAAATTCCCATTATGAATAGGGCTCGGATTGTGTAGTTCAGTGGTTGAGCATTGATCTATGAAACAGGAGGTCAGGGTTTGATGCTCAGGTTGTGGGCTCCATCCCCAGTGTGGGGCATGCAGGAGGCAGCCAGTCAATGACTCTCTCTCATCATTGATGCTTCTCTCTTTTTCCCTCTCCCTTCCTCTCTGAAATCAATACAAACACATTTAAAAGGATAAAATTCCCATTAAAAATAAACTGGCACAGGAGAATAATAAAGATAATTTGGGGTGGGTGGGGAAGGGAGGGGGTTTTTGATGGGAAGGAGGGAAGAGTGAAGAGACTTTTGCTTTAAAGAATTATCTAGCACAGCCCAGCTCGGCCAGAGACCAACACCTACTTCGGGCTGGAGCCCCGGGGCCTGGCTCAGGCAGCAGACCCGTTATAAACGGAGTGTGACCACCACGTGCTTCCTGGGCGCTCACCGTTCCAGTGTTCTGTGTGCTTTGCACACCCTGCCCCAGCCAGCGGCTGCTCGGCGGGCCGGGGCAATCAGCTCGGCACGGCCGCTGGCTGGCCCGGACGCCCGGCGGCGGCCGTCGGTGGGAGCGTGGCGCTGCAGGCGAGGAGGAGGAGGGCTCACCAGGTAGTTGATGACGTAGAACCGGTCGTACTCGTGGTTCCGCGGGCTGATCTTGCGGTGCTGCTTCTTGCGCATGTGGCCCTTGAGCAGGCTCTTGTCCCGGAAGGTCCGCTCGCAGTACAGGCACTGCAGGCTGCAGGCACAGGCGTCAGGGGCCCGACGGGCAGCCGCTGGCTCACTGCCCGGTCACGCGTGTTCATTCCAGGCCACGCAGCACCTCCCAATGGGACGCGCCCCCTCGCTGGCCCCATTCCATGTGCCTGGCTGGCAGGGTGCTTTTGTATTTCTGAGTTTGCTAAGCTGGCTCTTTAGTTAAAACCAAAACAAAGAGAACTAACCCCCACATTACTTAGGTGTTTACTATCACCCTGCCCGGCCGCACAGGCAAACGGAGGCTGTTCTTCAAAAGGCCACGGTAATGCGTGGCTGCGCCCCCGAGGGCAGCGGTGACGCCCGTCGGGTGCCCTGAAAAGGCGGAGGGTGCACAGCCGCTGCAGCGCACAGGAAGCTGAGAACATACATATGCAGTATGTACGCCACACTGACAGGGTGGAGTGAGGAGTACAGAAATCCCACATCCACAGTCAGAACTGTGGTTCAGGAAATGCTCTGAGGAGGGTGTGGGGAGCAGGAACGCAGCCCCAGGTGCCCCATTTTCCAGGACAGATGCGAGCGTGCGCCCTCCAGCTCACTGCACACACCTGAGGTGGAACGCAGTGCTGGGGACATGTGCCATCTTCCCTTAAAAACCACCAAAGACAACGTGATCCGCACAGAATGGGACTGTCGCACCCAACAGCGGTGCTTCGCCGTACAACAGTCCGTTTCTGTGGTCACATCATTGGGTTTGCAGCAGCCCCACGAGTCCAGGACCAGGGTGCAGGCTGTGCTGCGGGAAGCACTCACTTGTCCAGCTTCCTCTGCAGCGTGCTCAGGAATTCGCCGCAGTGCACGATGTTGTCCGGCAGCCCGATGTTGAAGGCGTGCTCTCTGGCCATGTGGTTCAAAAGCACCGATCTAGGAGGGAAGCTGAGCAGTTTGTGTGCGGTACAAATCACCCAGGAACAAGTCAGGCCAGCAAGAGCACGTCTCTGTAATGAGCAACAACCTAACAGAAGCACGTGCAGGTGTTACCGACACACACACCAGGCCACCGAGAAGCTCCCAGGTATGTGAGCGCCGTCAGGTCCCTCTGCAGGTGAACTGGGACCTGGCCTTGCCCTACTGACTAACCAGCTTTACTTTCCAGTTCATCACGGGGCCGGGAGGGACAGCTGCCCGAGACGCCAAGTGACCAGCTGGGAGCTGGGGTCACAGAGACCTAGTGCCTCTTTTCCAAAGTAAGACCCAACGTGCTCGCAGTCAGTTAACACGCTAACGGGGACAGCGTGTCTGCAGCCCCTGGCTCCCAGTCTTCCCACCGGCCAGTTAAGAAAGGCATTTCCCTCCTCTCTCACAGCAGCCACAGTTCACCTCGATGTTGGCATGCTTTACAAACCACTGCTGGCAACAGGAAAGGGTGCCGAGGGAACCCGTGTTCTGATGAGTTCACACGAAACAGTCACGTTTGAAGACATGCATGATGGCAAACCTGTTTCCGAGGAATTCCTCATTGCAAAACATACAGACGCCATGGAAGCTGTTGTCATCCCGCTCCCGCTGCTGCTGCTCCAGGATTCCTTTCTGCGGAGAGAAGAAGCCCGATGAGGCCCAGGCAGCGCAGTGAGTGAAGGCAGCCCCATCAGCCTGGACGGTGACATGGAGTCAACGTGATCTGAGGGTCAGAACCGTCAGGCCCAGCCCCACCTCGCCTCCCTGCAGGGAGGCGGCTGGAGGCTGAGCTCAGTCACCGCGGCCATGGTTTGGTCCCTCGGGCCTAAGCCTCCACACCGCCCCGCGGGACAGGGGCGGAGCTCCTGGGCTGACGGACCACAATGGATCCACGTGCCATCCTCCGGCCGGACCCACAGGGACAGAGGCCCTCATGGCTGAGCTTAGTCCCTCTCTCTGATCTGGGCGACGCACGCGTGACCAGCCAGCAAACAGCTCCCTGGGCTCTGCGAGCCGCTCTGGCCCCTTCCCGGACCCAGGAGCACTGGGCTCTGCAGCCGGCGGGTCAGAGCAGGGGGCCGACCTACAGGCTGAGCCCTGAACCTCATGCTCTTGGGAAGACAGTGTCCAAAGTGAGTGAATGGAGGACATCTCACGAAGTTGGGGAACCGCTGGATGTGGGGAAAACCCAGGTGGGGCTTGGGGTCAGAATTCTGATTGTCATTTACAGTTAATGGATGCAGCTACTTCTAGAAACACGAGTCTATCTGTAGACGTTCAGTGAGGACTGGGTGCTGCGTGACACATGGGAAGCAGTGGGGTTGGCAGTAGGAGGGTGGATAGGGTCAGTGCTGAGTGACAGGGTGGAAGCAGTGGATTGGTAGTAGGAGGGTCTGTAATGATGGCACATGGGAAGCAGTGGGATTGGCAGTAGGGGGGGTCTGTACTGAGTGACACAGGGAGGAAGCAGTAGGGTTTGAGTTCTTGCAAAAAGACCCTGTGGATACCCGGATTATGACCACTGGCCATTCTCAAGGCCACGGTGGGTAAGAGTGAAAAAACTAATGGAGATTAAAAATTATGAATAAGTATAAGCAGACAAAATCCGTAAAAGATGGCAGCAAACTGATCCCTGCTTTGCAGATGTGAGGACGTGAGGAAAGGAAGAGAAGAGAAACGCAGGAGCCCTGCCGCTTCACTGGGTTTGCTGCTACAGAAAAAGCATATTTTTCTTGCCTATAAACCAACACCCAACAAGGCCAGCCTCCTCACGGGAGAGTCAGCCTTTGGGACGGTCACATGTATAACTCGCCTTAGGGCTTTCTCAGGTCACGAGCTAGGCTGAGGGGTTATTTTCCTCTGCGCCGCCTTGAGGGTTTAGCAGAAACAGTGAAGCCCAGGTCCCTCCTAACACATCTGGCCGAGTGCAGAGGTCCCAGGGGCACGAAGAAGTGGCCCCTGAAGGAAGGACGGGTCCATCCAAGTAATAATGGAGCGCAAGCACAAACCGCAATGAAAAGCCACAGTTAGACAAAGTACTTATCATAGAAATGGCTTTCTGCTGGACTTAGGAAAGTTCAACACTCATACACACTGCTACCTTTTTAAGACCACAGCTGCAGAGGCATTAAAATTAGCTCTCAGGCTGGAAAGGAGAAGGCCGCCGTGGGCATCGAGCACAGCCTCTGGCCGGATAAAAGCGGGCCGGGCAGAGCGCATTCCAGTGAGGGGGACGTTCAACTCCCCTCCCTGTCGGCCGACGGCATTCTCCCACGACGCTGAGCCCAGCATGCGTGAGGCGGTGAAATCGCACCGAATGTGGCGGCTCTGCTGCTGTCTCCGAGGTGGCCCGGAGGAAAGCAGGGCCCCAGGCCCCCGCGTTGGTGGCAGGGAAGGCTTTCCTCTCGGCGCGGGCCGCTTCACTCTCTGAGGGCTGGTGCAGCGCCTCCTCTTTTGGGAACGTTTGAGTTTCCGGAATAAAAGTGGAACCAGCAACAAGAGAAGCAGTGGCGGGTGTGTGTTCCCGGCACGTGCCTCCCTTGCACAGGCCTTACCAGCCTCTGTGCCTGCAGCTCCTCCCGCAGCGCCCGGTCCTCAGGCAGCACGTCACACAGCAGGAAGTAGCTTTCCTGCTCCTCTGTGGGAGAGAGTCAGGGGGCGATGTTTCATTTCTCCCAGGCCTTCCTCCTCACAATATGTATGTCTCTCATGCCTATATCCATGTTTACTCTGTAACTTCTTCTATGTCTCTAATGTCTCTATTCTTATTCATAGCTAATTTATATCTATATCCTCATACACAGCCATATCTATAACTATATCCATACCCATATCTAATCTATATCTATATCCATAACCATATCCATTAACCATATCCATATCTATATCCATCTATATCTATATCTATATCTATATCTATATCTATATCTATATCTATATCTATATCTATATCTATCTATGTGTGTGTCTATTAAGAGCTCTCCTCTGGAGCACTGGTCCTTAGCTTTATTGAAGTTAATCAACAATAAGACAGCAGTTTCATGTAGGCTCTTGAAGAAGTGAGAGGATTCTGACTTGAGGAAGTGGGACCCCCCTGTGAATTCTGGGTCTGGGAAAAGGCGGCACTGACCCAGCGGGGCGGTGGAGTTGATGCGGATCACGCTGCAGAAGTCGGTGATGGGCTGCTCCCTGAACCGCCTCCTCCAGTACAGGACGTACCTGTGCAGGCAAAGCAAAGAGGCGGTGAGGAGACTCAACATGGCCCTTTCTTTAGAGAGACAGGATTTAAATATATATATATATATATATATACACACACACACACACACACACACACACACACACACACAATTGATTTTTTACAGAGAGGAAGAGAGAGGGATAGAGAGTTAGAAACATCGATGAGAGAGAATCATGGATCAGCTGCCTCTTGCACACCCACTACTGGGGATGTGCCCGCAACCAAGGCACATGCCCTTTTCTGGAATTGAACCTGGGACCTTTCAGTCTGCAGGCCAAAGTTCTATCCACTGAGCCAAACGAGTTTCGGCTAGAGTGACAAGATTTTATATAACAATTATCCCAAAGCCACAAAGCGGATGTTGACTGAACACTGCTAGACAATTCATAAATAGAAGGGCGGCAGAACATTGTAGAAGTATAAAATAAGTATTTAATAAAGTAAAATTACTCTGTAAAGGCATGGAAATGATTAAACTTGACTATCCCCAAATTCAATTAACAGCCATATGGGAAAGTTAAAAATCAGTTATTTTATGTGATAATAAAGTTTTTCTGAAATCACACTTAATTTATATGAATTAAAAATGTACACATTTCCAATCAATGGAAAGTTGGGTGTCTATCTTAACACACCCCAATAACAGACGTCATGGTAATAATGGGATGAGAAGTCAGCCAATGTCTCCATAACAAGAGGAAAAAGCTCCAAAAAAGTACCGCATGTGTCTGATGTGAGGCAAACGTGGCCTTTGGAAAGATGGTCAAGTTTTAAAAAATATTTAAAAAATATATTGATTGATTTCACAGAGGAAAGGACATGGAGAGACAGAAACATCAGTGATGACAAAGAATCATTGACCGGCTGCCTCTTGTATGCCCCACGTTGGGGATTGAGTCCTGACTGGGAATTGAACCATGACCAGCTCCTGGTCAATAGGCTGACTCTTAACCATTGAGCCATGCCAGCCAATCAAGACGGTCAAGTTTTTTATCCTTCTACCTAAGGAGCACAGTTAGAGGCACACAGGCTGGGTAAAAGCAGAGCACAACCCAGACCTGCATGTCTGAGGAAGAGGGGGGAGAGGACGGGGAGGCAGCCCACTCCCATCTTCCCGGTGGCTAACGAGGCGTAGACTGGCAGCCGCAGTCCCTCTCAGGGACGGGACCAGGAGGATGCGGGCTCCTTTGGGGAGACAGGAGATGGGATGTTGGCCGTGGTGCCAGCTCCACACCAACAGGATGCCGCCGTGGGTGCGGTGACAGGAGACTTTCCTCAGGGCAAAGGGCTCCGCCGTGAGAGCCCCATGGGCAACACCCTCTGTGCTTAATGGGGGTCAGGATCCCTGTTCGAACCCGGCCCTTTGGGGCCTCTGCAAGTCTCTCCTGGGCTCCGGGATGCCTGACTCAGCGCCGGAGGCCCACACGCAAAGTAAGAGGAGCCTGGGTGGGGGAGGGGCCCAGCCAGCAGCCTGGGCAGGGGAAGGGGAGCCCTCTGCTGGGGCAGCGGGTCTGCTTCCAGAACCCGCCGGACGGCAACAGCGTGCGACACCCACCCCGCAGCCTCCACACTCATGACAGAGTGGGAAGGTCCCTGAGCGTCCAGGGAAGCTAAAGATTATCAGTGTGCATGCGGCCATAGCACAGGGGTGATCACACAGAAGTCAGGCCATCCTCAGGAATGATCAACTCAGCTCACTTCCAAAGGAACCAGCACTCACCTCCGGAAGTCAGCGACCAGCCTGACGTCGGCTATGACGAGCTTGTGCTCGATGATCATGTGCTTCAGGAGCGGGTCCTGCTGCGCCTCGGGGAAGTGCTCTTCACAGAAGATGCAGGGCACGGAGGGCGAGCCTTCGGGGGTGTCGCTGTGCCCCGCGCCCTCGGGCAGGGACAGCGGCTCCAGGATGCAGTCCCGGCCATCTGGGAGAGCGAGGAGAGGAGCTGAAACCGGCCTCCGCAGGGAAGGATTTCCCTCCTGCAGGAAAGGCCTGAGGTACCCGCACGTCCCCAGGACGAAGCGCACAGGCCAGCCCACAGCCCATTTCAAATGCTCCGCCGCCCGGAGGGAGGAGGCTGCACACTGCTCACTCCCCGTTGGCTGCTTGCCTGGGGGACCCGTTGGGCAGGGCAGCTGTCTAACCGTGGACACTGGCCCATGGCAACAATTCTGGGGGCCCCTGGCGGGGTCTATGGCCGGACAGTGCTGACCTGTGGCCGAGTGATCGCTGGATGGGAGGTGAGCGCACACACTGAGGCCTCAGGGCCGCAGGCCAGTGTCCCAGCTGCTTCCGGCGCCCCTGCAGCCGCCCCCGCTGCTGACTGACTGTCGCGCACAGGAGCTCTCACACCAGGGTGGACGCTGGGGGCCCGGGTGGCAGTGTCCAAGGCTGACGGACACCTCCCGTTTGCTTACACTCCACATGGATCGCAGTTCAAGGGCTAGTGAACAGGTGAGCGCTCAGTCCTAGGCGTACCTGGGAACGCTTGTCCCCTCTGCGCTCTCCCTTTCCCTACCAGCACCTACGGCTAAGAGTGGGCCCCTCCCCGTGCATCTGGAAGAGAGGAGAGGCTGGGTCCAGGCCTTTAACCACAATCCATCTCCAAAGCTGGGTCAGACGGTAAGACCCTCTTTAATTTCCCCTGGGCTGAGAATTCATTTTGTAAGGCACCGAGGCCCAGGACTGAGAGTGATTTGCAGTACTCTTGCAGGGAGTGGGGAGTGGGGGTGGGCACAAACACAGGGGCGCCGTCCCCCTCCAGCACGCGCCGCCGGGCCCACCCAGGAGGCTGGCAGGGGTGGCCCCCATGGGCCCTGGGGCTGCTGCTTTCCCGGGAAAGAAGCAGGCTGCACGCACACTCCATCCTCACACCTACCAGCGGCGCTCGGAGCAAGGAGCTCATTTGCACAAGCAAAAGAGCCAGGACGCCTTTATCACATCACTGAGCAAGCAGAGCACAGACCTGGTGTGGGCTGCCGAGAGCGCCGGCCTGTAAGTGAGGGCAGGGCGCCCGCCGAGGCCAATCAGGAAGACACGAGAAAGGCTGGAACCAAGCTTGATGCTAACTGAAAAGAGCCTCAATCACAGTGAACACACACAACACTTCACACCCACATACACGTATAATACATGCACACACATTCCAGTACAAGACTTGAAAACAATATACAAAAGAAAAACAATGAGAGATTATGAACAGACGTACTTATCCAAACTTTTAATACTGAGTTTTTAAAGTAAAAGGCATGTTATCGGACAAGTTCCTCAATGTGAGAATTCAGAAGTAAAGCAAGTTAGTTTTATCTGGTCACCTTCTAAGTCTTAACATTTAAGATGCAAAATTTGGTTACACTTAACATTTTCTAACTGAATGTCTACTATGCAGAAAATGCATGCTAGGAGCTCTCCAAAAATACAAAGCTTAACCTAAAACTCCTGTCCTGAAGTAGTTGCTCATCTAAAGGAAAGACAAGACAACAGTACAAATCATTATAATGCAAGCCAGCGTACACAAAGTTGGCCATGTAAATCAAGGGCGAAGAGCCTGGGAGGAAAGAGTAACTCACGCCAGGAGGAGTGAAGGAAAGTCTGCTTGGGAGATGAGCCGCAGTATAAGCTGGGTAACATTTTACCCCGTTAATGGAAATGTAACTGATCAGAATTGGGACAGGAGGGCCACTGGGACCAAAGAGACCCACACACACAGGACCGCTGGGCAGGAATGGGAACAGGCGGCTGGGGAGTGCTCCTAGTTACTGACTCCAGGGGCAGGTGGGAGGGAGAGGAGGGGGAGGACGTTCTGACGGCGGCCTGCCTGTGCTTTCCAAGCCAGTGGTGTCCGGTGGAATGTGCAGAGGCTGGCTTCACTGCATCTCACTGATTGACCTGACAGGCAATTCCTCGGAGTTAAGTCAATATTTGCATGAAATGGGCTGGCAGCTAGAACATTGTAAATTACCTATCTGATATTCCCTATTACGTGTAATTAGTGTTTTGGGTAGAATCATAAATTTCTAAGTTGTGGGACTGATATTTCTCTATTTCCAAAATTAAATAGCTACGTATGTCATATTTGTAGTTTAGCGTTTGATGTCTTACCTCATCAGTATGAGTAATTTTTAGTACAACAGTTTTGTTGATATTTTGGAAATAGTAAGCAGACTAAAAATAGAAATGAATGTGTGAAATGAAATCAAATTAATCTTTAGTGATACAATGTGTTTCTTTAATGTGAGTTTGCCAAGACATATTTAATAGACTAAAGAATAATGTTAGTAAAAATATAAATTATATTGGTTAATAGTATTTTTCCCAACAAAGCAATGATCTGATGCAGTTAGGGTAAGCTTTTGTATTATTTAAAGAAACAAGGAGCAAATTTATCAAAATTCCTGAATATCCCAGGTAAGCTCTTCCTCACCATCACCAGAGGCTTCAGCCCCATGCAGCACACGGAGATGCTGGGGGGCACTGCTTCCGGTGTGGGAAGCACACGGCATGGAGGACAGTCTCTTCAGCGAGGTGCTGAAAAACGGGAACACCTACAGAAAAACCCCAAACGAGACGCGGTCCGAGCATTTCCTACAGAAATTAACTCAAAACCTGAAGCAACCGAGGCGCCCTGTAGCCGGTGATGGATAACTGGCCCAGCCACACAGTGGAACACTGCGAGTGCCAAAAGCCAGAAAGCCACAGAGCGGTCTTAACCACATCCGACTAAACGAAAGAAGCCAAGAGTGAGCCCTAAGGTAAACGGTGGCCTCTGGGGTTACGGGGTGTCACCGTAGGTCCATCCTTGGTTCTGGTGAGCGCTGTTGGCCGGAGGGGAGGGGGGGGGGACTATGCACGTGTGGGGTACGGGTGTATGGGACATCTCTTTATCTCCCTCTCAATTTTGTTGTAAACCTAAAACTGCTCTAAAATAAAAGGCTGAACAACGCAACACCGGACAGGCAGAGGCTGCATCCTGAGCCCATAGTTAACTTGGACGGAACTGTCCCCCAGGCACTGAGGCACGCGGGGCTCTCTCCTGCAGGAGCAGCTGAGGCCGGAGCTCAGGGAGGCCGGGCCGGGCTGAGCCGGGACCTGAGTGCAGGGTGCACGCCAGCATGCTGCTCTCGGTGCTGGACTGGGGTGGTCACACAGCTGAGTAGCTCCCTTGCCCGTCTCCCCACAGGATACAGTTTCCGGGAGTGTAACGGTCATTGGAGCAGGAGCACATGTATGTAACGCAAGATTGTCAGGGCAGACACTGGGCAGGTGACCAGCCCGGGCTAAGTCCGACAGCAGCTCAACGCTTGCGCTCACAGCCTTAGCGAAGAGCTGGGACCAGGGAGCCGCTGCCACGCACTGGGACGTGCTCCGGGATGGTGCCCCACAGCGCTTAGCCAGGAACACGGCACCTGCAGACGCCGGTCTCCGCTGCGGCTGCCCAGTGCAGTTACGACGGCCCGGGCACAGGCCCATCAGGCGCCGACCCGGTCTCCGCTGCCTGCGCCCGGTCACAGCCCAGCAGCTGGGCGCCGCCTTCCTCCGCAGCTACCGTTTCATTCCCCCAAACGGTGAGAAACAGCACTTGTTTCACCAAAGAGCTTTGTAAACAGTTTAACTGGCAGGGGTTCATCCAAAAGACCAAATATAAACTTGCCTTCAGGGAGCTAAAAACACTGCCAGGAGAGAGGCAGACAGTATCACCAGGCCCCAGGCAGCATTTGGCACTGACTCGGAATGAAGCCCTGCGATGGGAGGCGCAGTCTGAAGAGGAAGAGACCTGGGAGCCCCAGGTCTGAGCGGAAGCCCCTGAGCCTCATGCGCTCCCGAGCAAGCGTCTCAGTATTTAATTACGGCCGGGACGCAGGAGCTCTGCTCTTGACTGTAGCAATATTATTTAAATACAGTAGAGAGCATTTATTACTTCTCCTTTCTAACTTTATTACTTTTTTATGGACACTGTGCATGGTTAAATCCCTATAAAGTATGCAGTATTATTCATCAACTTTTACAACCCAAAGTATCCATTTTAAAAAATGCATCAAATTTAAAACAACGACCTCTTAAATGCTAAGCTGTGAAGTTTCTAAATATTTTGTACTAAAAAGCAAAATATATATATATATATATATATATTTTTTTTTTTTTAAAATCAATCTTTATTGTTCATATTATTACAAAGGTTCCTCATTTCTTCCCCCCTCCACCAGGTTCCCACCCCACCCTCCGTCCCCCCCCCATCCCCCATTGTCCTCATCCATAGGTGCAGTTTATGTTCAGTCTCTTCTTCCCTCAATTTCCCCAATAGTAAATCCCTTTTCAGATAGTAAATCAGTTACTTAGCATTTTCTCATATCAATAATACCTCCACATGCCCAATGATACACTTCACACAAAAGACATTTCCCAATAGGTCCACCAGCCTCATCCAGGCCCCACCCCAGGCACTCACAGATCAACACCCCAGTCCTAAACTAACTCAACACATCCAGATCTAAGCCTTCATCACTTGATTCAGCAGACCCTCAAGTTCCCACGAAAGTTTCCAGCCATGTCTGAGAAGCAGCCGTGGGGCAGGGGCAGGCAAGGAGCGAGCTGTTCCGGGCCTGGCTGCTCAGGGCCTGGCCTCTGTTGCTCTGGTTCATTCCACAACCAGCTGCTCCGGGTCTGGTCACTGCCGCTCCCGACCTAGTTGCTCTGGACTTGGCTGCTGCTGCTCCGGGCCTGGCCGCTCCCAGCCTGGCAGCCGCTGCTCTGGGCCTGGCCGCACCAGCCCCGCCTGCTCCCCCGGGCCTGGCCGCTCCCAGCCTGGCAGCCGCTGCTCCGGGCCTGGCCGCACCAGCCCCGCCTGCTCCCCCGGGCCTGGCCGCTCCCAGCCTGGCAGCCGCTGCTCCGGGCCTGGCCGCACCAGCCCCGCCTGCTCCCCCGGGC